ACACACACACACACACACACACACACACACACACACACACACACACACACACACACACACAGTTATACATAGATCCAACATGAAAGGCATCAAAACTGAGAAGTATTTCCAAAGGGTCTACACACATCACTATCCTGGAAATCCGTTTTTAGTTTGGACAGTTCACATATTTACTTCARAATTTATCAAAAACTTTCTAAACCTTCAGCAGAGTTCACTGTTAGCTTGTTGTTGCAAAGCTGAAAACATGTTAATAGTTAAAAAAGGTATAGCTAAAAAGCAATACAGTGTTCTTTTTTATAAGAGAAAAAAATCAGTTTGAGGTTCACTAAGGGTGAAAAGGTCTATATTCAGAATGCCATTTTAAAAAACAACGTGCAAGGTCAAGCAAGAAGTGAAAATTAAATTATTTGTTTTTATTCTGAGAACTAAAAGAAAGATATTCATCTGAACAAGGGAGTGCACTTCAAGAATACCTCGCAGATAGCTTATTGTGTTTTTACAAATACACAGTGTTGCTCCACCTTCCGTCAGCCTGCTGTCACTTCACAGTAAAAAAATATTTATAAGCATTGTGGCACTTTTGTTTTGAGGCACCAAAAAGTAAACGACTTTGGTCAGACAGGCTGCACAAACCTTTGGCTGCTGTCTGACTCATCACTTCGCAAAACTCCAAGATTCCAATCATACTTTCTTCAGCTTGCACAAATATTCAGCAAAATATAAATGTGACTTCTGAAAACAAACTGTATGTTTCTGTCAAATGTGCCCTGACAATAAATATAACACTATGAGGTTATTCGTATTTCAGTGAAGTTCTGAATAAATAAGTTTATTTTGGAATCAATAAACAGAGTTGTGGCGCCAAAATAGGCATGGAAAAACTTTGAGCCAATTAGCATGGTTTATTCAAAAACAGCTCTTTTTTGTTTATTTAATGTTAGTCTAACACACCAGGAGTATTTAATGTATTAAAACACTGATTTGCAGCTCAAAGGCACTGGTGTTCCCATAGTATCTTAAGAATGGCTCTCAAAAATTAAATATTGTGCAAAAGTCTGCATGCAGACTTCATTACCGTACTTGTTGGCACATTATTTACTGTAACTCAAAGAAGGCATTTATAACTTTAGTAAAAAGCATCAAGACACTGAGATTTTCTCAAACTTATTTCAGTTTGTCTTACTGAAGACACAAGGAAAAAGTCCACTTTACCCTCACAATACATGCCACATAAATGCTTTACTAGACCTATTTATGAGAGCGTATTGTAAATATTAGCAAATCAGCAGATTTCACTCTGTGGCCAGATGCAGCTATCTTTAAAGTACACATTAGCATTACATCAAAGTACAGTAAAAAGTAGAACACTGGCTCCAGAACGACTCGTGGGCAACAAACGTGTTATTCTTCATTTACTCTTTGCTTGACCAATCAACTAACAGTTAACAAACAACAAGCACAAGCATGTACTGTACATTCAGATAGTATCTAGGCATACTGGACATGCAGGTATACATACACACTCACGCGTGGTTGTGTTCCTCTGTGGTGAAACTGTAAACTCTCCAGTCTCTCTGTGAATTCTTTTGGGGTTTTGTCGGCTCTAGTGGATGAAGGGCATTCGCTCCTTGCTGTCATTGTCTCCCTCCGGCTCCTCTTCTTCCTCTCCTGCTTCGCTGGTCTCTGTGCTGTCGTTGGCCATCTAGTGGTTAAAAAGTTTTACAGCAGCAATTAACAGTTGCCTTACTGACTTGTGCAAATTAGGGAAAAATATTAAAAGTGTAAATGTTTGTGTGATTGTGTTCAGCTTGTAGGAACTCTTCTGTTGTACCTTAGCAATGTTAATTTTTGTAGAAAATAAAGTCCCAATCAATACGCCTGAGTTAAACCAAAGAAAGTCATGTCTGTTGATATTTTGGATGTGATCATTAAAAAAAATCTCTATGTTTTTGTCCATCTGTCCGTTTTCTTCTGCTTATCCAGGGTCGGATCGCGGGGGCAGCAGTCTAAACAGAGAGACCCATACTCCCCTCTCCCCAGCCACTTGGGCCAGCTACTCTGGGGGAATCCCAAGGCATTCCCAGGCCAGCCAAAAGACATAGTTCCTCCAGTGTGTCCTGGGTCTTCCTCTGGGCCTCCTCCCAGTGGGTCGTGCCCAAAACACCCCACCAGGGAGGCGTCCAGAAGGCATCCTAACCAGATGCCTGAGCCACATCAACTGGCTCCTCTCAATGTGGAGCAGTGGCTCTACTCTGAGTCCCTCCCGGATGACTGCGCATCTCACCCTACCTCTATGGGAGAGCCCAGACACCCTGCGAAGGAAACTCATTTCGGCTGCTTTTATACGCGATCTCGTTCTTTCAGTCACTACCCAAAGCTTGTGACCATAGATGAGGGTAGGAACGTAGACTGGCCGGTAAACTGAGAGCTTTGCCTTCTGGCACAGCTCCCGCTTCACCACTACAGACCGGCACAGCGCCCGCATCACTGCAGATGCAGCACCAATCCGACTGTCGATCTCCCGCGCCATTCTTCCCTCATTCATGAACAGGACCCCGAGATACTTAAACTCCTCCACTTGGGGCAGGACCTCCTCCCCGACCCAGAGAAGGCAACATACCCATTTCCAGCTCAAGACCATGGTCTTGGATTTGGAGGCACTGATCCTCATCCCGGCTGCTTTATACTTGGCTGCGAACTGCTCTAGTGAGAGCTGGAGATCAAAATCTGATGAAGCCAATAGGACCACATCATCCACAAAAAGCAGAGACGCAATCCTAAGGTCACCAAAACAGATCCCCTCAACACCTTGGCTGCACCTAGAAATTCTGTCCATAAAATTTATGAACAGAATCGGTGATAAAGGTCAACTTTGGCGGAGTCCAACTCTCACCGGAAACAAGTCTGACTTACTACCGGCAATGCAGACCAAGGTCTGGCACCGGTCGTACCGGGACCTTACAGCCTTTATCAACAGGCCTGGTACCCCATACTCCCGGAGTACACTCCACAGGAGTCCCCGTAGGACARGGTCGAACGCCTTCTCAAAGTCCACAAAACACATGTAGACTGGTTGGGCAAACTCCCATGCACCCTCCAGGACCCTGCTGAGGGTGTAGAGCTGGTCTGCAGGTCCACGACCAGGATGAAAACCACACTGCTCTTCCTGAATCTGAGATTCGACTATCCAACGGACCCTCCTCTCCAGGACCCCTGAATAGACTTTACCAGGGAGGCTTATAAGTGTGATCCCCCTATAGTTGGAAAACACTTTATGGTCCCCTTTTTAAATAGGGGGACCACCAATCCTGCCAATCCAGGGGAACTGCCCCCGATTTCCACACGATATTGTAGAGTCGCGCCAACCAACGCAACCCCAAAACATCCAGAGCCTTAAGGAACTCCAGGCGAATCTCATCCACCCCCGGTACCTTGCCACCAAGGAGCTTTTTAACCACCTGGGTGACCTCAGCACCAMAAATTGGAGAGTCCGACCCAAGGTCCTCAGGGTCTGCTTCCTCATGGGAAGATGGTAGGATCGAGGAGGTCTTCGAAGTATTCTGCCCACCGACCCACAACGTCACGAGTTGAGGTCAGCAGCGCACCATCCCCATCATAAACAATGTTGGTGGCGAACCGCTTCCCCCCACCCCCGAGACGCAGGATGGTGGACCAGAATTGCCTCGAAGCTGTGCCGTCTTTTTCCATGGCCTCTCCTAACACCTCCCACGCTTTGCCTCAGCGACCACCCAAGCCGCAATCCACTTGGACTGCCAATACCTATCGGCTGCTTCCGGAGTCCCACAGGCCAAAAAGACCCAATAGGATTCCTTCTTCAGCCTGACAGCATTCCTCACCGCCAGTGTCCACCAGCGGGTTCGAGGGTTGCCGCCATGACAGGCACTGACAATCTTACGGCCACAGCTCAGGTAAGCCGCCTCGGCAATGGAGGCACGGAACATGGCCCACTCGGACTCAATGTCCCCCACCTCCCCCGGAACGTGTTCAAAGTTCTCCCGGAGGTGTGAGTTGAAGCTCCATCTGACAGAAGACTCTGCCAGATGTCCCCAGCAGACTTTCACTATAGGTTTGGGTCTGCCTGGTCTAACCGGCATCCTCCCCCAAAACCTGAGCCAACTCACCACCAGGTAGTGGACAGTTGACAGCTCCGCCCCTCTGTTCACCCGAGTGTCCAAAACATGCGGCCGCAGATCAGATGAAACAACAAAAAAAGCTGATCATCGAACTACGGCCTAGGGTGTCCTGGTGCCAAGAGCACATATGGACATCCTTATGCTTGAACATGGTGTTTGTTATAGACAATCTATGACAAGCACAGAAGTGCAATAACAAAACACCGCTTGGTTTCAGATTTTGGGGGGGGGGGGGGGGTGGCGTTCCTCTCAACCACGCCCCTCCAGGTCTCACTGTCATTACCCACGTGAGCATTGAAGTCCCCCAGCAGAACGAGGGAGTCCCCGTTAGGAGCGCTCTCCAGCACCCCTTCCAAGGACTCCAAAATTGGTGGGTAATCTGAACTGCTGTTAGGAGCATAGGCACAAACAACAGTCAGGACCCATCCCCCACTTGTAGGCGGAGGGAGGCTACCCTCTTATTCACAGGGGTGAACTCCAACGTACAGGCACCGAGATGGGGGTCAATAAGTATGCCCACTCCTGCTCAGTGCCTCTCAGCATGGGCAACTCCAGAGTGGAAGAGTGTCCAACCCCTCTCGAGGAGACTGGTTCCAGAGCCAGAGCGGTGCGTCGAGGTGAGTCCGACTATATCTAGTCGAAACCTCTCAACCTCACACACCAGCTTAGGCTCCTTCCCCACCAGAGAGGTGTGACATTCCATGTCCCTAGAGCTAGCTTCTGTAGCTGGGGATCGGACTGCCAAGGTCCTCGCCTTCGACCACTGCCCAACACACAATGCACCCAACACCTACGGCCCCTCCCACAGGTTGTGATCCCATGGGAAGGGGAACCCACGTCTCCTCTTCGGGCTGTGCCCGACCGGGCTCCATGGGTGAAAGTCCAGCCACCAGGCGCTCACCAACGTGCCCCACCTCTTTATGCTTTATTTCTGAAAAATTACATTTAAATGCAGATACAAAAAAATAGTAATTTTAAATGTTTTACCAGAGGAGTTGGAGATTTTTCAACATCCAGAATGAGTTTTCCTATGTTGCCTCTGTCATGAATTCTCTGCATGGCCTCTTTAACCTGAGAATTAAAACAAAAATGCAACAATGTCTAATACGTTAAATCAAATATTAAGTGTGTACATGTTGTACATTTATAGTTTTGATGCAGACCACAAAATGTTGGGATTATGAGGAGAGTGTGTTTTTCTGCAGCATGACTTATGTGTCACATTATTCAAGTGCGTACTACTTTACTTGGACAATTTATTGTGATTTAAAGGAAATCTGACATGTGGTCCAAATGATCATTCTAATGCAGTCTGGCAGCTAAAGGCAGAGCAAAAACAGGTTGGGCTGTTAGGATAGTCTTCTCTGCAAATTACTGAATTAACCTATTGATCTGTTGTTGTGAACGGCCTTCAAACATCTTTGTGAGGACAATGGAGGGTCAAGAGGGATGCTGGCCTTTACATGAAAGAAATGTCTGATTGTTTCACAATAATGAGGACAAAAGAGCCATGCACACTGATGGGAAGATTTTAAACCTTGTTAGACAAATCCTCATGTTGACGAGCTCAAATGAGAGGCAGTTCACATACTGTATATCATCATCATTTCTGTATTGATCACAGACATTATCTAACTGTTTTAAGCTTGAACTGATATTATTATTTTAAATAATTTCAAAGTGACATAATGGCATTCGTAACTATCAATACTGTTACAGAAATCCTTCTGTATTACCCAAGCTCAGCATCTCAGTCATTTTAGTTCTAACAGGAGCGTTTTGTCAAGGTAAAGAAAGATTAGAAGGTATGAAGGTTTTAAAGAACAATGGGCCTCATGCCATATTTTCGTATTCTTATCCTAAATTTCTCTTACTTTTGTTCATACAAACATGCCACATCAGATTCAACAAACTTCTATCTTCAGGAAAAGTATGTAAATGAGCAGCGTAAACTGATGAACGCGTATCAGGTGCTCGTCCACGAGGAGAGGAGATTAGCATGATTACCACCCCAAAAATACCATTTAAGGCTACATTTCCTGCCTCAGATACAAGGAAGTATTCATTCATAAATGACATCGCAAAGTAAAAAAGAAGAACTTCATAAGTTTGGAGATTGAAGTCCTGCTCTCAGAGATCCAGAAAAAAATAAAATAAAATCTGTCATTTCTAGCAGTGTCAGCTGTGGAATTAAAGGACCTGCTAAAGCTGATGAATGAAATGCGCTGTTAATGTTGTGTCTCCTGTGGGTCGTATACGGTCATAGAAATAAAAATCAAAATCATATTCATCTCTCTCTAGTCCTGCTTCGGTTTCCCTTTGGTCAAATGTTTTTAATTTAAGTGTAAACAAATGTGTTACATAGTTTTCATTTATTCAGAAGAAGAGCAGTCACGCACTGCAATTAAACTTCAATTAATTGGTTTGTAGTTTGAGATCTTCATATTAATATTGTAGTGTTATACAACATCATTAATAGCCAATTTAATTTAATATAATCTAACCAATTTATGTCGTTAGTCTACATTATTACATTTAAAGTTATAATTATAATTCAAACAGAATAACCTACTGTTAACATAATTATGGAGTGTGATTTATTTTCAACTCAAAATATCTTCAAACTAATGAAATATAAAGTTATTAGTGAAGAAAAATCAAAACTGTTTAACATGATTGCTTCTTATTACAGTAAAAATGTGTATACCACAAAAGACAACACATCATGATCAACACAGTCACAACAGATTGTGTGCCTCTTTATCTGAAAGCCATTGTATTAAAAGCAGTTGATGGAAAAAAAGCAATCACCAAGCCAAATACAAAACAGGGTTTGAAATGAAAAAAGGTAGCTATAACAATAATAAAATAATATTTGCAAATATTTTATTATGTTGTTGGTATTTCTTAAAACAAATTCTATCTGAGATGTTCTAAAAAAGTTGACATTTTTTTCTGCACCTTTACAGCATTTACCTTGGAACCTGAAAAGATAACAAAAACTATCTATTTACATTTTTAAAACTGCTGGGGTTGAATAACCTCTCGCCAAGTTGTTCCACTCAGATTCATATTCTGCAGTGATTCAGTCCAAAAAGAAAGGTTGCCATGGTCAACATGTAAACTGGCGTCCAATTATTTCTTCCTCCAGGCATATTAATGAGAGAGGCAGGTTGTGGCCAGACACCACATCCCACGCTACCTAGCCCTCTAATGAAATTCTTCATGGGCAATGGTTCCACAGAATGGCCCGAGCACTTTGCCAAAGTTTAATGACAACATTACATGGGAAGTTTCCCATGAGAAATAAAAATCTGAGGACAACAGACAGCTCATCAACTTCTCTTTCTATTTTTGACTGTAGATAGAAAATTCAGAGCAACTTGTAGGGAGCTTCCTGAGATGTAATGTTGCATACCTTTTAGCTCAACTTCTACATCATCAAAAATTATATATACACGGGCTGAAGATTAACCTAATACAACATCAGTCACTTGTGTCTCAACAAAAATGCACGAGGACATGCAATAAAAAGACACGTGGAAGAAGTTTATCTACCCTTCTGTTGCCACGTCTGGTCTTGCAGACTAAAATGGATAATCAAGAACAAAAAAACATGCACATGACCATGCAGGGAGGGAGGGTTAAACTACAGCTGTCACATGAATAAGACGAGCTGGGGTCAAACACTTTATTAATCCTGCATCCCACCATGGGCCTGCAGTATGAGAGTGTTGTTAGAGCTTGAACATAACCACTTCATAAAGAGCTGAACAAAGAGCTTGACAATGGAAAAACAAAACATTTTTTGGTTGAAAAAACATCAAAATACAATTTAAAGGACGCGGACATCTTTTTTAAAATGTAGCAAAGTCATTGTGTGTAAAAGTCAAAGTTTAGTTAATATCTAAGCCTGGTCTGAAACTTAAAAAAATATTAGCATCTAGCTAAGATAAGCGCCAATTATTCAGTATATTCTATGTGAGGCTCAAACTTTTTAAACAAGATAAAGGGAAGGATTTCACCTTCGGTTTCTAAGATGTTACAATAAGGAGMAGGGATGTAATCAATTCGATTATCGATTTTAAGTTCACAGTTACTTTTTTCTTCAACAAAATTAATAATAGCTATTTTATAACCAAATATGTCAGAATCTTTGTCTTTGTATCAAACTGCAACTGTCTGTTGTCTTAGTATAAAGCTTCAAAATAAATACAAATGTCATCACAAATCCTTTTTGTGACAAAAAGTTATCAAGTATCAAACTGAATTTCTCTTAACGACAACTTACAATAATTTATTCAAATGTGAAACGATTCACATTTTAAGCAGTTATAATGAATTATTAWTTGATTATTGTTTAATTACTTGCCTATTAAGGAGCTCATTTGATCAACCTGAGCCCTCTGGTTCTTACCTCCTCCAGTGCCCACAGGGAGTCCACTACAGGCTTGATTTTCTTCTGTCCATAAAGACACAAGAGTTTGTCCATCACTGCCTTCACGAGACTGCATCTCCCTTGTTTGAAGAGGAGGTTGAGGAGCGAGAATCCTGCTATGACCTTGTTCTCCTCATACAGTTTAATAGGATTCACCTTTTCCACCTGCCACCACTGCGAGGAGAYAAACCAGAGACACATGAACCCCGAGGGACTCATTTATATATGCGCTTCATGAAATTCATGGGGTAGTTACAGGGATACTCTTTCCTTCAAATATGAATGATAGTCTGCATCTCTGACTCACAGATTTTGCAAAGCTGAAGAAACTCTTTGTTTCCCCAGTGACCATGTTTGACGCGCCTGAAAAAACAAAAAGAAAAGGATTATTGCTGTGGGCTGGACAGACGTGGCTGCTCAATAACAGGCAACCATGATGCAAGAGGAGTGAGGRGGGGGAGGAAAAGTTGACTCCTTAGACCTTTAGAACTGTGAGWGCATGTCTTTGCATACATTCAGTACAACTACTACTAATAAATTAGTCTCCTGCTAATGAAGTTACTGAATGCAGAAGACTTGTCAGGACGCGATAACGGAAGCTGTGAGGACAATACATTTTAATTACAGGTTATGAAATATGTCAAACGAGCATTATTATCATGTAGCTTTTTCAGCTGACAAAACAATGAATATATGTCAGATTAATGGTAATGAAATATCAGAAACTAACAGGAATGTTGACTGGATCATAAATGCTCTTATTCCTAGCAAGTAGAACTGGGAAATGCTAAAAGAAAAAAAAAGTAATTTTAATGTTTATTTATCCAATTCAAAAGGCTTAAAATGTCTATTTTAGTTGCACATTTCAGTTAATAGATTTAGCTAAAAAAAACCCACAAAACTTCATTTCAAAGAATTGCAAAAAAATGCATTTTTCAGTATCAAAATCATTTTTTTATCAAATGTTTCAGTTAAAGTTTAAGCAAAATTATTATAAAACAATAACAAACTACACACAGAATTATTAACACATAAAAAGGCAGCAAAGAGAAAAGCAAACATTATCCTCACCATAGAGAATATAGGTTCCTAGTGGCTTCAGCAGACTCAGGCCTTTCCCTGTGTTCTCTCCACACAGGCAGTCCAGCACGACGTCGACTCCATCGGGAGAAATCCTGCAGATCAAAGCAAATATGAAGTCCAATAAAAATACAGCTGTGAGCAGCAGCAAAGCAGACGTTCAGTTCAGGACACCACAATGTCCACCATCATTTATCATAGTGATGTTAAAGACCGTGTAAAGTAAAAATAAATGTGTTTTGAGGTTGTCACACCACAGAAATATGTGTTAATAATAAGTGTGACTCCTGCCACTGATAGGAAACTGAGGTCAGATAATAAATCCGCAAATCAGTTAATTAGCTCAGTCCATTGACTGAGGCAGACTTAAGTAGAAATTGGCTTCATGTTGATTTGTTTTCAACTATCAATAGAATATTAAAGCTGCAGATAGCTCGGAAAAATCCTAGCTGGAAAATTGGAAAAAGCACACCCTACAGGTCCCTCCTCTCTTGCTCTCTGCTGCCTCCCTCCATAGCTCCCCCCCCACAGCGGAACCTGCCCTGAACACGCAGGCTAGCAGGATCACCAATGACAGCAGATAAACAGCCATGAAACATTCAGAACTCTAAGGAACTGGCAGTTTTATACATTTTTATAAAGGTTACCTGCTGCAGCTTTAAAACTATTTGAAGACTTCACCTTGAAAACTCTAATTGAGGACTGCAAAATTACTATTTTGAAGTATTTTCCCACACAAAAATGGCTTAAACATTTAGGCTCAAAATGAGCAATAATTAAATCAACAATAAAAGTTGCACACTGTCTAATTTTAGCCATTTTCTAGTTAACTAATCTGTTACTTGACTAACAGTTTCAGACCTGCTGCTCGTGTTGTAGACCAGTGGTTCTCAACCTTTTTAGACTTGTGTACCCCAGAGCTATTTTGTCACTCATACCACTGGTACCCCTTCTGTCAAACGTAATGATGATTCTCCAAAACTATACWGTAAAACAACTGATTATTAAATGAAAAGAATTTATTTAACCCCCTAGAACAGTTAATTCTCATGCATTTTATTATTTTCAACTCAAATTAAACAAAGATAAATACGTTGCCTTGACAGTGAATAAGTAATTAAATAAATAAACCAGGTATTGGCAGGTGTGAGAAGCAGCAGCGTCCAAAATACATCAGAAACTCGCCCAAATGAGCAAATTCAGTGAGATTACGCATTTTATACTGGATTCCATTTTGTGTCAATTTCGTGATTCCATTTGCATTTTCCGCATTGCAGAAATCATAGGGCCCTATCCCAGGCCTATTTTTATTTATTTTTTACACACCTGGGACATTTTTCCATGTACCCCCTGCAATATGCTCGCYTACCCCAAGGGGTACACATACCCCTGGATGGGAATCACTGTTGTAGACAACAGACCTGAAACAATAGGTTTTAAGTAACCAACACATTTGAGATTTTCATATGATACACGAGCCAGGAATGGTCTTAAGCTGTCAAATGACTGCATAAAGTGTTTATCATGGAAAAATAAATCTAAAAAGTCAAAATGGGTTTTGAATCCATAAATGTAGCTTGTGATTCATACTCTGGGGTGGCTTTACATTCTAATTTTGAATCCATAAAATATGATAATTTGCTCTCTGGGGCATTAAAAAACTTGTGGTACAGAACTCACATTTATACTCTTCTTATTTAGACATTATTAACAGTTTGAAATGCTGCAAAATACATCATCTCAAGTTATCACCCCAGTCATTAATCACAGAAAAAAAATCTAACTCTGCTAAAGGAATAGATWTAAAAATGTAAGGCGAGGTAGGAGCCACAATTTCATGCTTTCTGCTTTTCAACACTGCGCACCAGCTTGGCTAAACTGCTCATTGGTCTTGTGATTCCCATGGTTTTTGCTTTTGCAAAAAAAGACTCAGTTAATTGAACTTTGTACTTGATCCTGGGAAGAATGTGTAGACCAGTGAGATGAAAAACGTTCTAATCCACAACCAGCGCTCAAATGTGGGTCAAAAGCACGAAACGTCAATTACTAAAGGATATTCTGAAGTCGTTTATAATCATTAAACTCTTTTGCTAGATTAAGATTTTAACTTTATTAGAGTTTGTGGTAAATCTGTAAATTTCCAGTAGGAGAAAAAATAAAATCTCATCTCATCATGTCTGCTTTTTTTTTGGTTTTTTTTTTTTTTGTATTTTAAGTAATCCAGCAGTTACTACATGAATCTTTCAATGACAGGATGCATAGTAACATTTAGTGTATGACTGCCCGGCTCTAATTGGTTCAGTTGTTCCACAAGCAGACCTCCACCCTGCACAATGCTGCTTCCTTCTGAGTGGAGCCGGTAGTTGCCATGGGGACCACTGCCACACAAGCGCAAATAAGGCAACGGGCAACATCTGCAACCTCGCACAGCTCTCGGCCCTCAGCAACGTCCATGTTATCACATCAGCTCACMTAAAGAAGAGCTACCTGAGAGCGACTTAAACATTGTTTGAGAAACTATAAAATAAAAAAAAACACAAGAAGACATGAAATTGGTTCCACGACAGTCCGATGTGGCATTCTTACTTTTTAACATCCTGTATGTAATCTGCGTTCCTGTCGAAGAAGTGAGTCACAGAGTCTTTGATGGCGGCGTGTTTGAAAGACGAGGCGATCCCAAACACGATTACGTTAGGTACAGTGGAGCACAGCTGAGCCACGGCTTGTCCCTGAAAATAATAACAGTAACAAGTGTTTATCAGCGTGTGAAAAAGGACAAGAATTCTGAATGAATTCCACAAAGCAACATTAAACTTATACCTGCAATGAGCTTATTAGGCTTTTAACCACTTTACTAAATGTGAATATGTTACAATGCACAGCAGGGGTGTAACAATACATCGATTGATATTGACTAAATGATTCAATTACATCAGAGCAAAACAAAAATACCGATCCATATCGTCAACGTATGCCTGATGTGGATCAATATTAGGGATGCACGATTTTTCGGCATTAATATCAGTATTGGACGATATTGGTCATTTTTTAGGATATTGTATCGGTCCGATATATAAAACTGGCCCGATATTAACGTCCGATATTGATTTCCCACTTTTTGGCTTTGTGTTTCTGTTTTGGGAGGGAAATGGTTGATTGAGCAGCATCTGATTGATCATAATAGTGATATTGATGCTGCGCAGCCAGGAATAACTGAAGTAGGAGCCATGTCAGAGGTCTGGTCATTTATTTACGCTATCAAAAAAAGACCCAAGTGTGTTTGTGCATATTTCTATAATATGTGTGTTTGTGTAATGTCGGTAAATACCGGTTATTGGCTATAACAGCAATAATCATATAGGGTATCGATACCGGCTGAAATTTTCATTTCGGTGCATCCCTAATCAATATCATGTGATCATCAAGTAGCAGATTTGTAAATTGAATTGAATCAAAATCATATCATGACAGATTTTGTGATAAAGAAACATTGCATCATCAGCAAAACAAATGAATGTAACTAGGAATGTCCGATAATATCGGCCTACAGATATTATCGGTCTGATATTAGCATAAAAATCTCTACATATCGGTATCGGCTTTTCTTCTGATAACAAAAGCCCGACAAACTAACGCCTGGATTTGACCAAAATGTGTTAATAAATGCTTGTGGTCCAGAGATATTCACCGGTGTGCGATTGATGACATCATCAAACTGGATTATGTCAGGGAAAGCATGATCCAAACTATAGTTTGAGATAAAATGTTAAAAATAAGTATGGTACTTTTTCCATAACTAGGGCTGCCACAAACGATTATTTTTATAATCGATTAATCACCGATTATTTWTTCGATTAGTCGACTAATCGGATCATACGTTAACTGAATATAAAACATACAGCTTATCGCGCCAGAATGCAGCTGCTATTATATAACCATTGTTAGATTTTAGCTATATGCTAACTAAAAATAATTGCTGTGGAAGGCAAGTTCTGCCTTACAGATATTGCACAGGTTTCTCTTTCATTTTCTTAAAATGATCCCACACTTTGAGCTCCGTTGCCAGGTAGCCATGATACTAGAGCCTGTCTATATAATGTCTTGTGATGTCCATGACCTACCCCAGTTACCACTACTGTGCATGTGTGACAAGGACTGAAAGGCAGATGTGGCAGTGGAAGGTGTCAAAGCAGTTTGGAGAGAAAAACAAAGTAAAGAACAAAAAAAAAAAAAGAAAACGATTAATCGATTATTAAATTAGTCATCGATTATTTTAATAATTGATTAGTCGTCGATTAATCGATTAATCGTGGCAGCCCTATCCATAACAGTGAAATGTTTTTTATTTTGTACAATGTTTCCCTTTGGAATGTATCTAGTTGGGTATTACAGTAAAAGCAGGCATAATGTCCCTGACAGGAGATATGTGATGTCACCTTAATAAGTTTGTTTGGAATACCGGTTAATATCAGAATCGGAAATTAAGTGTTGAACAATATCGGCAAAGAAAAAAAAATATATATATATATCGAGCATCTCTAAATGTAACGTTCTATTGTGATAAAGCTGGTGATTTACACCCCTAACGCACAGCTCAGTGTTTGTTAATTGGTGAGGTCTGTGTACATACAACACCACCTCCTGCCGAATGGACCAGCACCGACATTCCCTCTCGCAGATTGGCAACCTCAAACAGCATCATGTACGCGGCCACGAAGTTCAGGGAGAACGCTGCTGCCTCTGCAAAAGTCATTTCATCTGGCATCTTGTAGACAAAATCCACAGGTGCGCAAACCACCTCCGCCCAGGCGCTGTAATTCACAAACGCCATAACTCTGTCACCTATCTGAAACAAACAAAACAAGTTATGGTAGCAACAGGACAGCAAGCAGACACTCATCTGATCGGTTTTATTGACAGGTCTGTAATTGCACTCACCTCAAATCCCTCTGTGTTTTCACCCACTGACTCCACGATTCCACAGCACTCAAATCCTGGAACAATGGGGGGTTTTGGAGGATTGTCAATGTTCCCCTGACGTACCATCAAATCCAGGAAATTCAAGCCACTGCAACAAAATAATAATAATAAAATAAAAAAATGATGAGGACCTTTCTTGTTTGTTGACATTTAATCCATCAGATTTAATGCTTTAATAAGTAAAAAATGCTTGCCTTTAAGCACGGACTGGGCAGGTTTTTTAATAACGCATATTTAATTTGAGCTGGTAAAAGATTTAAGGATTACCTAGTGCGACTCTTGATATTATTATCAGCAGTGAGTCATAGGCTGCTCCTCTGAGACTTACAAGGCCAGATTCCACAAATTATTCTGCACTCAATAAAGAGGCTTGCACTTTAATTATTTTTAGTAAAGTGTTTACTGAAACACAGGCTTCATAAACTGGTCCGTTATAATAAAGCTGTTAACAATGACTGAATCAGATGGGAAATAAATTCTGTCTGTAATGAACTGGTTTCAGTCAGCCGAGCTCTCACTGGAAAGGACCTGTAGCTTCATGACTGCTTTGTAAGATGCTTTTGCGGCGTTCAGACTTATAAAATAAATAAAGGGATGTAAAAGTGCGTCTGAATCGCTGGCACTTACCATGTTTTGACGCGGATCTTGACTTCACCGTCCTGAGGCTCGGGCATTGCCTTCTTGGTTACCCGGAGTTTGTTCAGACCTCCAAATCCCGTCAACATCACCGCTCGCATTTCTTTGGCGTTCCCAGCGGGTGATTCCGCGCTTGCGGTTTCCTTCACCAGGTTTCTGTCTATCATGTACTCGGTTTCCTCTGTCATATCTGCTCCTTCTTTAGCCATGTCGGAGCTGCTGCCGTGCCTSTGCGCTTCTCCTCCGGACTGATGTGGCGAGCAGCAGTTTGAAGGCGCTGAGTCAATTCACGGTCCCCGAAACGCCTCATGTAGTCGCGTTTAAACCATGAATCCGAACCACAAGTTTTTTAATCCAGTACAAGTCAAATAAATGCCCGGTTTCGTCTCCAAAAGAAAAAAAAAACATTTTGGTAATAGACAATTATTTTAGGCTTAATTAATTGCACTGTAGCGTGAAGCTAAAGCGCGCCACCTGCTGTTAGAAAGWGCGCAAAACTTCAGTCTGAAAATAAAACTCGTTTGTCAGCGTTGTATTTCGCATTGAAGAGAAAAGCTATGCATTTTCTCAAAYCCAGACTAAAATACGAGTAACAGAGGAGCAAATAACTAAATGTGTGGAGTGAGTGAGGCCTACATTTGTCACGGTAAGCCCCGCCCACAATTTGTTTACATTTTGGGAAGCTAATTGCTAACAGGTTCTCTGTTAGCCTTGTGATCAAACTTTCCTACAACAGGTAGTGATGTTCGATACTGACAAATTTCTTTCCGATACTAATACCAAGTAAAATTTGGCTGGTATCAGCGATARTGATACTTTGTGATAACACATAATGTGTCTGATAAATCTTAAGGTAGTGTTTTTTTTAAATAACCGCTTTATATATAATACATGACACAGTACTTTATTTATTAATTTAAGTCTTTCTAAACCTATACTTGTTTAGCACATTTTAAAATTCTTATTCTAAAGAAATATAATTTCTGAATAGTAAATAATGAGAAAATAATTTTTTTAAAAGTTGTTACTTTGTATATTTTGTAGCARTGTCTGTTGGATTGCAAAAAGGCCCTTGGTCAGAGCTTATGCTGTTTGAGGGGCCATGGCATGAAAAAGTTTGGGAACCCCTCATCTAGAGTGTAAGTAGAGGCACATTGCACTCAGCCCTGCTGAGCTGATTTTATGTTAAAATGACCTGCCATACATACACAGACTGAGTGACTGACTGAGAACGTGCCACTGTGCTTATACATTACCCAAGCGGATAAAAAATGTAGTTCCCTCCAACCACATATGATTAAGACAAGATTTGAATAGTTTAGTTATTTTCCACTATTTTCCTGTTAATGATATTCATTATGTGAAGTAACTAAAGTATCGATATTTTATGTTTAGTATCGATTCTAAAACAAAGTTCTAATATAGGTAGTATCGATATTTCAGTATGGATCTGCACATCACTAACAGGGGTGGTTAACACTGGAACCATTCCGACCACCCCTAACTTATTTACTGTTATTTAAAGAAGTCTTCATTACTAATATTCTAGGGTTTTTGAGTCACATTTGCTGTACATTACTAATAATAAGTAGATGTTTTGTATATTTATGTCTTAATTTTATGTTCAAACATGTAATTCTCACCCAAGTTATTTACAAAAGCATTTCATTTTTTGTCATTTTAAACTTTTTTTAACCTAAATCCACTTTTTTTGATAACTCTAAATTGTCCCTAGGTGAGAGAGAGAGAGAGTGAGTGAATGGTTGTTTGTCTCTATGTGTGGCCCTGTGATGGACTTGCGACCTGTCCTGGGTGTACCCCGTCCCTCACACTGTGACTGCTGGACATGGGCTCCAGTATCTGGTGTAATGTTCCAACCAGTGGCAGGCACAGTTCCCCTAAAGCAGAGGTTCTCAAACTTGGGTAACAGGACCCCCAGGGGTCCGCGAGAGGTACCTTGGGGGGGGGTCCTCAAAAAATTTCACTAAATTGTTAATTTGGTTTTTATTTTGAAAAATGTATGGGGAACAATGAACTAATAAAACAAACATAATAAACTTAATAAAAATATATATTCCCATGGCATTTAGGGGTTGAAATGACAAGAAATTATCTTTTAGAGCAGCATGGGATTTATGAGGGAGTCCCTGGAATTTTTTCGCCCTTGTAAGGGGTCCCCAGACCCAAATGGCTTGAGAACCCCTGTCCTAAAGCCCTAATAGGGGAACTAATTTCTTTATTAGTGCTTTTGCTATTTTTTTTTAATTCATTAGTGGATTAGCACTTGCTAAATTTATGGGCTAAGATTAGAAGCACTAACTGAGGTCTTTAAATGTTATTGATCAACTTTATTGTTCACAGTTGAGGGTGAAAGCTGTCATACATTTTGTTCAAATGCYCGTCACTTATCAAACTCAAGGCCCGCGGGCCAAATATGGCCTGCGGGTGACTCCTATTTGGCCCAGCAAGGGTACTAAGTGACAATATTTTACACACAGTAAATATTGTCTCATGTTGACTCTGAAGAATATTTCATGTGTCAACTGAATTATATTAGTGCTTTAGTATTAGCTTTTGCTAAATTTTCAGTGAGTTAGTGCTTTAGAATTAGGGGACCTAAATATTTGAGTTAGTGCTTTAGAATTAGGGGACCTAAATATTTGAGTTAGTGCTTTAGAATTAGGGGACCTAAATATTTGAGTTAGTGCTTTATTGTTAGTGCAACTAATATTTAGATTAATGCTGCCCACCACTGGTTCTAACTAAGGTTTAAAAAGGTCAGGAAAACAGTACTATTATACTAGAACTAATGTTAGCGTTACTACTGTTGATAAGCAACAAGCATTGCTTTTAGTCACAAAAAGCAATGTAGTCAACAAGTAAAACAGCTACTTTTTATTGCAACTTGCATTATTAACATATAAAGAACTTAAAACACAAGGTTTTGTGCACATGTTAGAAGCAGTTTTAAAATAAATCACCTTTGGAACTGTAAAACAAACTGTGGTCACATTTAAAGCAAACTAGCATTTATTAGCATTAATTTCTTCCTGGATTGTTTGTTAAAACGCCAGCATCACCAACTATCCTGACAAACTCCCAAATAGGGAGAAATCCTGACCAAGTCATTACAAGTCATTTTGTGCGTGTTGCAGCTTTGATTTTCATAAAATTGTCTCTGAGTGAAAGAAATATTCATGAGATAAAAAAGATAACTTATTGTAATCTTACTATACACGTAGTTCACAATTCCCACTGTTGATGTGTTGTACATAACTGCAGGAAGACTGCATTTCTCAGTGCCTGGAATTCACATTTGAAATTGGGGGTGTAATCCCCCTTACGGTATTAGAACGGGGGAATTTATACATTTTGGAGGGGGATTATTACTTATGAGCAGGACTACAGATTTTACTTTCTGAGAACAGGATGAAATGAAAAGAGGTGTGGAAAAAAACTCAGCTGCTCTGATTCAAGCTACTGAAATAACTCTTGACCCTTTATTATGTTGCAGATCAAAATATGTCCAAGTACATCTTTTTAGGGGTAAAATAATCTGACTCTTATTCTGATTGTATCTGCACTGCTGCATACTTTCAGTCTCTGAGCCATTAAAGTTTGTATTTATCTCCTCCTCTGTACGTATTGTAAAGAAGTTGCATGCCTAAAAAGTAAAATAAAAAACCCATTTGTAACATTTATTCAAAATACACATATTTCTTTGATCTAATATACTAACTTCTGTAGATACAAAATGTCAGCTACGTAAATAAAAAACAAGCATATGAAAACTTCTAATTACTGTGAAAATAATGTTTTCCTACATGTTAATGCGTGTTTCCTTCTTCTCTGGGAGGTAAACATGAGTATCTAAAGGGTTAATATTCCCGACTGAAGGGGGTGGAGGTGTGTGTGCTTGTTTTTGCTACCTGGTGGGGACGATTTTTGACCATTTCCCCGGTACACACAGGCTTGTGAAGACCCACTGTTTCTTATGGAGACATAAGCCCAGTTCACATCCTAAATAAAGTTTAGACTAGGTTTAGGGTCAGATGAGCTTTAGAAAATCCTGGTAAATGAATGCAAAGTCCCCATGAGGATAGAAGAACAAACATGTGTGTGTGTGTGTGGGGGGGGGGGGGGGACAGTAGCCATGTTTCCATCCAATTTTAATTCGAATTTTGAGCAAATTTTTAAAATTTCGCAAAAACGAAAGCTGAAAAAAAAATGRGAATCAGACGTGTTTCCATCAACTGGCATGAAGCAAATCTTTATGTCAGATGTGTGTAGTAAACAGGAAGTAAAAGTCCCAAACTCGCAGGATTCACACATCTCAGGATGATGGAGAGAAGTTATCAGGAACGCGTTGCTACTATTGGGAAAGTTGTACTTATTCTGTCATATCAACTAGTTTTGGCGATGTTACATGGTGTCTGGAGACGTTCAGCCCCCACCCCTTCTCTTTCTCTCTCTGCCTCCGTGTGTCTTCTGTTTATACGGTACGGGTTGTCATCTAAAAATAGTCTGATGCAAATGCTCACATTATTACACATCGTTGGAATTTATTCTGTGCGGGAATTTCCCGCATTATAAAAATTTGATTTGCGGAAATCGATCATATGCGCAATCCCACAGCAAATTTCAGGCCCTGTTTCTGCTGCTAGCCCTCAAACTGTTATGATCAAACACATCAACTTACGCTCTGCTTAGTGACAACATATCTTCTATGTCAATACAATCTCATTTGTAAAACTAAAAAAAAAAACAATGTTGAGGGGCAAAAATGGAGGGTGTTTTTCTACTGTTTTGGGACATCAGTAAATATTCTCAGGCCATGCATGCTTCGAATTTCATCCTTGAGTGCCTGTAGAAGACAGAAGATAATAGCCAGTCAGGTCATTTCTGAAAAGAACCCTTACAAATGTATTTTTATTGAATGTCCATCAAACAAAACACAAATTATCTTGAACATCTTATCATGGTTAAAGAAAAATACAAGCAATATATGGATGCAAGTTTCAGTACAATAATTGTATTACATACATACAGTATGTATTATATTAGAACATCAGCACTGTAAAAGGACCAAAATAGTTTCATAATATCTATCCCTTACAGATGCCCCAATATTCTTTTTTACTTTTTCTTCTCCCCAAGTTGACAGAAAAATATTTATTTGCGAGAAACAGAAAAATCTGTGCAATTCCCTTGAAATTTAAAGTATTATTTTGGAATCTATACTTAGCATCAAACGTAAAAGAATGCTATTTTCAAAAACATAGCTATAATTCTCATGCTAATATACTTTGTGACCCATTTATTTCCTGAAATAAAACYTTTAAATTGTTTGTAAATTACTGCAATCTGTTTTTATTTAGATTCTACGCTCCGTGCCAACCTTTTCATTGACTGAGCTGTGAGATAATTCAATGTAACCCATAAATTTGAACTTGTCCTTACCTTGACACTACCACAGTTGATAAACAGATGTTTGATATTTACCTGATTGACTAATTGGTGTTGCTGAACTGTCCTTTTTCCTTTGAACTCACTGGATTCTATATGGATCTCATACATGGCCCCACAYCCACCTAAACACAATGCAAGAGATTCCAATTACAACACTGTCAAAAACAAAGACTTCAAGATTAAAATCATGTAAATATCCATCTATTAATGCTTTGAAATATTTCATTTATTTAAAAAGCTTATTAAAAGCACTTTACAGATGACTACTAACCCAATATGAAAACAACAAATTTTAGGCATGAGCGGTGTTAAATAAAAACCAGATTCGGACCAAATTTGAATACATCAATTATCAAAAATGTAGAAGGCTAAAATGTATTAAAGATTTAACTGAATGTCTGTCATATTTTCCTAAATTCTCAAGTAAAATGAACCACATCTTTTAGTTTAGCCTCCCAGTTGTGTTGTCTAAGTTGTGCATTTGTCTTTTTTGGAAAGCCTGTTAATTTCCCTTAAATGGTGCCACATTTATAAGAACTATGCATTTGTGGGATGAGCAGCAGAGCTGATTATGTGGGTTGCTCACATTTAAAAATTGCCAAATCTTCTCATCATTTGCAAACAGCTTATTTTGAGCTTCTGGTACCCACGGGTGCTGCCAGTCATGTACTAATTGCCAAGAAGCATCGATACAACAAAAAAATAATGTACCAGGCAAAAAAAAAGAACTTGCTTTTTGTGCTAAGTATATAGAAATTAATAGCATCTGTGACATCTGAAGGGGTACTGACATGCTAATGACAGTTTGTGAATTGAAATCAAATTAAATATATTGTCACAAACATGACATTTGATGATGATTCTCTTACAGAACTAACACATAAGTCAGCTGTTATAGTACAATATTGTTATATTCGTGCTTGATAAGAACCAGACATTTTGTAATGCTCAGACACTTTTATTAAAGCATATTTCTACAGGTCTGCTCACGCAGTTTGCTCACAGGTGTGTCACTTAAGAATCTCCTTCTATTGTTCTGTTCTTTACATTTATACATTCACATGAACTCATGCTCGCCACCTAGTGGACATAAGCATAGTTCATTCAATCATGACATCCTCCTTTCTTTAAAGTAAGATTATTACAAAAAGAATCCTATCAAAGAACTACATACATTGCATGAGCCAGTTARCACATAGCGATAATTWACACATTAAAAACATCAATTACAAAATAGACATTTCAACTCATTTTTTTCCTTTTCCAATTTTTTATTTTTTTTTTACAAGTTCAGTCTGTCAGGTTTTTTCACCACTCTGGTAGATCTTAACACAAGTAGGTTGTCCCCAAGACTGTCACAGAGTGTTTCAGTCGTAAGAATAATCTGGGAGTCCTTAGAAACTTCACTTGACTCATCAACAGGCTCCAATGGAGTTTTTAACAAACTGCGCCGATTTCGTCTCAGAACTTGTCCATCTTCAGTTTTTACTTCAAATGAACGTGGAGCTACTTCCTGCAGAATAGTGGCTTTAGTATTCCATCCCTCATCATCCTGAATCCTTACAGGATCCTTGTATGACAGTGGAGGTAGAATCTTAGTTGATCTGTCATAATATGACTT